CTGGATTCGTTCTCAATAAGCTGAAAAAACAGAGTGCCGCTTCTCCTTGCGGTGCTCTTATTTATAGCCAGCAAAAGCACCATATGTGCTGGCGCTGCAATCGCTAACTGTAGACACTCAATGGCGCCAATCATGAGCATCAATAGCTTATCTTCCTCTTTTAAGGGCTCCAAGTGTCTGTTGTTTAAAAAAGTGCTAGAATCAAGGAGAGCATTTATTCGGTTCTAAAATTATCACCATTAGGTTTTTAGAATGTATTGGTGTATATGGATTCAACAGGTGGATTCCATTGGTCGGGAGATTTAGAGCACTGAGCTCATTTAATTGCATGCTTACTGTGGATCTATGTGCTACAAAAATATAGGTAGGCAAAGGAACATAAAACTGTGTTTTCGTGACAGTCTTAGCACTTTTTATCCTCTGTGTAACGATTAAAACTATATCAGTAGTAATAGATCGGAAAATGAAGGTTGCATGACGTATGTCTATTGAAACCTGTGTAAAATTATCTTTTCATGTCAAATCATAAAAATGCATACACAGATCATATAAAAATTAATTAATGTTTGTTTTAAATTACATTTTCTATCGGACCTTCAAGTTAATTGCCATAGTCAACATAAACTCTCAGGTGAATATGATCGGATGCTTCTTTCAGCGGCGTCCCGCTAGAGGGCGTTGCCCATTTATCGAACTCCCCTTTCCTAAACGCTATATAAGTCCAAAACCGAGCTCTGTCTTCAACATTTGCTGTTAACAGACAGTCAAAAATGGCGCGTACTAAGCAGACCGCCCGTAAGTCCACTGGCGGAAAGGCTCCCCGTAAGCAGCTGGCCACCAAGGCCGCCCGTAAATCTGCTCCAGCTACAGGCGGTGTAAAAAAACCCCATCGTTACAGGCCTGGTACCGTCGCTCTCCGTGAGATCCGTCGTTACCAGAAATCGACTGAGCTTCTCATTCGCAAGCTGCCCTTCCAACGTCTTGTGCGCGAGATTGCTCAGGATTTCAAAACCGATCTGCGTTTCCAGAGCTCGGCGGTTATGGCTCTCCAGGAGGCGTCCGAGGCTTATCTGGTCGGTCTCTTTGAAGACACCAATCTATGCGCCATCCATGCCAAACGTGTCACCATTATGCCTAAGGACATCCAACTGGCTCGTCGTATCCGCGGAGAGCGCGCTTAAGTTACTGGAATCTTTACTTCAGTAAGAAAAAAACGGCCCTTTTCAGGGCCACCAACATCTAGAAGATCATGCGCTTTACTGTGCATTCTCAAATAATTAAATATACTTTTGCAGACCATTTACATATTAAGTAACTGGTAGTTTATAGATGAGTGATGAATATGTCTGCTCAATATATTGCGGGCAAATTTCCAGTCAACCGCAAAGCATCATCAATTGTCGAAAACTGCTTAATTTGAATAAAATAGTATTTTGGAAAAAATGTGAAAGAAGAGCCAGAGGGACTTGTAGAAAAATCCAGGAGAGCAAACTTAGTCACATGGAAAGACACTATAAGACGTAAATTTTGAGTTTTTCGTTCGTTGCTGCCGTTAAGGATTCTTTTGGATGACCTCAACGACAAAATTACGTGATCTGCTCTTGGTCTCTATAATACACCACCTCATGGGTTTACACCCCCAGTGCACCGTTATGGCTACACAAGAGATATACCTATGCGCACCAAACTTGCCTACGTTCTCAAAGTACGGCACCTTTTAAGTACGTCGTAAATAACGGAGTAAATAAATTATTATTTGAAAATTTTGCTACCGTTTGTTGTAACCGCGATCGACGAGAGTGACAGATGTGGTGCATTTATGTCATAATTTCGCTGTTTCTTAGCTCAAGGGAAGGCTTAGTATTTTTAATTTACATAAGTCAACTGATATAACTTTTGATTGTATTCAAGTAAGTGGTAGTGAAACAACTGGTAACTATGGTAACGCTGATAATACGCCTCATAGATGAGTACGATAAGCTATAGGATGAAACGCAAAATTATAGCAGCTACATGTGACGATTCTGCCTAAGTAATTGATCTTTCATAATTTGGTGGCCCTGAAAAGGGCCGTTTTTTGGTGATGCCCGAAGGCATATATGTGTAGTGGAGAAATTACTTGGAGGAAGTGTACTTGGTGACAGCTTTGGTTCCCTCAGACACGGCGTGTTTGGCCAACTCACCAGGGAGCAGTAGCCTGACGGCGGTCTGAACCTCCCGAGAGGTGATGGTCGATCTCTTGTTGTAGTGCGAGAGACGGGAGGCCTCGGCAGCGATTCTCTCGAAAATGTCGTTTACGAATGAGTTCATAATCGACATGGCCTTCGACGAGATACCGGTGTCGGGGTGGACTTGCTTAAGGACCTTGTAAATGTAGATAGAAAAGGACTCCTTCCTTCTACGCTTCTTCTTTTTTTTGTCCGTAGCACGGACGTTCTTCTGGGCCTTCCCGGCCTTCTTAACAGCCTTTCCGGACGGTGCAGGCGGCATAATTTTGGTGATGAAGCTAAGTAATTCGCCGTTAGTTGATGCCTGCTATTTATTGCCAGCTCGCAGTGCCATTTTGGCGCCATATCCTGAGCACTCTCCCAATAAGAGAGGAGGTAGTCTCCAGTCGGAGGCCACTCTAAATGTATATATAGCCATTACTCTACAGCAAAACTGCTATTCGTTTATTCGTAATTT